TTGTAGATATTCCAGCACACTTATTGATTAAATGTCAACATTTTGTGTACATAGAAATTCGAGATGCCTGGGATTTATGAAAAAACTAAAATAGAATCAATGTGTTCCAAAAGGCCATTGCAAGCAATCTCAGTGAGTGGTTGAATATCTCTATAATGATGCATTACACTGTACAAGGTTTATTCATGCTGCAAGGCTGGCAAAGAGCATTTATTAGAATAAATCTTTACTCGATTGTTACCAAAACAGTCTATACAATCCAAGTTGTTAACTGTTATTTGGCCAATTAAAGCTGAAGAGCTTTTGATTAATCAGACTCGTAGGACAGTATGTGTGTGTGTGTGTGTGTGTGTGTGTGTGTGTGTGTGTGTGTATGTGTGTGTGTGTGCGTGTGTGTGTGTGTATGTGTGAGGGAAGAGAGTGAGAACATCCCTCTGTATGCTGGACCATGTCTCTGAGCTGATGGCGAACGGAGCATGGGGTGAGGGGTGGGAGGAGGAGGGAGTGGGGAGGTGCAGGGGATAACTGGCCCTGCTGGGAGGGAGGAGAACACAGCTGAAGAGAGGGAGGGTGGGAGAAAGGGGGAAGGAGATGGTGGAGCATCGGACAGATGACAAATTGTGATTAATAAATGTGGTTCAGGACAGCAGTGTGGAGGGTTGTTATTAATAGAGAGAATTAGAGTGGCTGTGCAACTCAATCTGCACACTGTCACTCTGCATCAGGCCCCATAATCAGAACTTAATGAAACAGCACAGCACCAGGATGTGGACACATCTGCTTACAAATCTACTGTACAGTAAACACACATGCCCAGGTAAGTCATGGAGAAAATAATACATTTATGTCAAGGTGCAAGCACAATGTAACACATGGACTAGTGGGCCTGCATGAACAAACTTCATATTCATCTTTGAATCATCTTGCTAGAAACGTGATAATTTTTCTGTGAAGACCTCCATTTATTTTGCTTTTACTCCATGATATATCCTACAGCACTCTTATTTTCAAGGGTCAAACCAAATACAATTATCACATGTTTCTTCATATGTTACTCTTCATGTACAGACCATGAATGTATATGCAGCAATGTAGATGCTTTATTCTTGCCTCAAATCACCTCTTTATATCCCTAATGGCCTCTAAATTGTTTTACAAGAGAGTGTCTTTCACAGCAAAGAATGGGAGCTTGATAGCTGGATTCTTGTCACTGTTAACTGGAAGACGTGAGCAGTGGTCCCCTGGGAGTGACGGCCCTCCGGCAGCAACGTGCCTCTTGGGGATTGCATGTCATCATCCCTCAGAGCTGATGCTCAGTGTGTGTTGGTCACACTCCCTGCGCTGGTGTGGATTGTGTGACAGTGCCACAGCCTCAAAACAAAACAATGTCACATATACCTATCACTGACTGAGATTGTTCCACCCATTACCACTACGCTTGCAAGAAACATTTGTTTTGTTTTGTGCCAAAATCATACAGAGTTAATTAAATGTTGCTGTGAATGGCTGAATTGAAGAATTAGTAGTGTCTTTAAAAAACTACGCAGACAAACCAGCCATAGCAGAAGAGAAATACAACATGAGTAATGTGACCGTAAATAAGTTCCTGCTTCTCTCTTACTTGTTTACACAGAACAGACGAGAGAAAAGCTAGAGCTCGAATTATGCAGGTGTGTGCACAAAAGACAGAGATTTATTCTTAGTGTGTCATTATATATGAAATTAATTATTAAACAAACTGATTATTCAAAAAGCCCAGTACTGTTTCGTACGTTTTCTATTGGTGACAGTGGAGGCTGTGTGAGTCAAAGTAAAGTCAAGTGACACAATAAAGCAATTGCACTGAATTTAAAAAAAAAAAACATTTCATCAACATAATGCATAATGTTGAAATTTTGGCGAGTGTGAATACTAAGGGGAACAAATCAAGAAGAGAATAGGGAGAGAGGGAGACAGACAGCTGAAAGACATGCACATATTTCAATATTAATCACCTCAGTAATATTTTAACAGGCTTTAAAAATCCAATCCTGAGCATATTGCCTCTGACTGTTGGCAATGATTATCTGCCCCATGCTGCTTAGGACCTCTGAGCACTGTTCTAGTAAGACAGACTGACCGACCATGCAAACTGGGACACACAGCCTTCGACTCCCATCTACGCTGCTCAGCTATACCAACTTTTCCCAAAGGAAATATCACAGGCCATCGCTTCCCAAACCTTCTCTCTGTGCTGGAAATTCTGTAATCAAGAAAAGATCTCTTTCAGAGTTTAATTCTTGAGAATCTTCTCACTTGCACGTCGGGCAACAATCAACTTCAACAGTCACAGATACTGTCCAGGCATTGTGCAATGTTTTCATCTCAACGGTCCATCTTTATTCACTCAACAGCTGCTGAAACCTTATGATTGGTAATAGAGGACAGTGTGGAATTTTCTGATCGGTCATGGGAAACTGATGAACTATGGCATTATGTTATTGCTGATATGTTTACAAAACATGATACTACCCCTCACAAGGTAAATGTATGTCTCTAATACAATTACAATTATGTTTTTTGTTTACTTGTATTTTTCCACCCACACCAACTCATCCATGGAAAACCACCTTAACTGCCCCTCCATGTGCGGTGGGATCAGGTTGGTTGATCCCTACATGGCCAGACAGTGGTCATCATATCTGAGGAGAGAGAGGTCAAAGAGGTGGTGGTTAATAAAAAGAGTGTCATCAAATATGCAGTCCTATTCCCCTTGCTCCCAGTGCATCAGTCATCAAACTTTAAACTCGCAGATTTGCGATTGAGCGTGTCAGACAGGTGACACAAAACTCTAAGGAAATGATGATATGAGGTAAAAATCTGCCTAAGATGTATAGCTGAAATGGAAGGTGATCCAGAAACATTTTAGTCCATAGCATCACATTATTTCCCCACTGTCATTGTCACAGTAAGAAAACTGATACAAGAATACCAAACATGGCCTTCCATTACTAATGGTGCAACAACTGTTTGTCCATGAATACCTGTATTTGTCTATGTGTGTGCATATACGTGTTTATGTACCAGAGTGCAAGCATTGTATGTGTTTGTGTGTAAGGTTTTTGGGTTAAGGAAAAAGAGCAGCACAGCTTGTGGGGCAGGGTGTCTCACTAATGAGGCTTTATAGGTGTGGGATGCAAGTCACACACACATACAATGGTCAGGGGAACATTTAGTGTCTCCTCTCCATTCCTCACACATCATGCTGAGGCATTTTTTACTTAAGTCACCGTCCTCTGTCCTCCCTTCTGCGGTGCACAGAAGATGAGAAACATCTGCCTTCATTCTGGAACACTTTATCAAACATTTTCTTCTAAGAGTTTGCCTCTAACAACAGGTGAATGTCAGGCTAACAAGATGCAGATGGGAGGCGTGTTGTCTAGTCCACATTAGGTGCTTGCCAGTAAATGCCAATGCAGCTTGACACAACATAGCAAAATAAAAATGCTAGTATGATGTAAAGGAGAGAGAGAAAGACAGAGAGAGAGAGAGAGAGAGAGAGAGAGAGAGAGAGAGAGAGAGAGAGAGAGAGAGAGAGAGCGAGAGCGAGAGCGAGAGCGAAGGGGAGAGAGATCTAACAGGTGTCGACGAGGGCTGCCCATGGACCACACTGCGATAAGCGAGTCACAGCCACTCTGGATAGGAGCGTCTGGTTGCCATGCGCCCCTCATTTGGAATTGCGTCAAAGTGTTGTAACAGGTATTTTCTGGGCTTAATTTCCTCTGAAGTTAGCTGCATTTAAACTCTATTTTCTACCGGGAAGGAAAAGAGGGGATTAAGCGCTGATTAAGAAACTCTCATCACTTTCCTGGCATCTCCCGCGCGCCCGTCGGCTCTCCGGCTCTCCATTTAAAGTCCTTCAGTCATTGTGGTGGGACGTGGACGGAACGGATTCACAGAAAAATGTTATCTGCTTCAAAAATATCTGTGCATCATAAAGAGCAGATGGTGAGTTTTCTTTGTCTATTTGTGTTTCTTTGTTTCAAATTCAACCAGAAACATGTTCATTGTGCATTGTAGATCATCGCGTATTTTATGTAGGCTAAATCAAATGTAGGCTCAAAAGAAATACAATAAAACTAAATAAAATGATAATTTTCCTTATTTAAAAAATCTAAAAAATAATACCATCTTCATTTAAAACATACCTTTTTATTTTTATCTTTATAATTAGATTTTAATCATTCTTTGAATGAATGCAAATATATTACAGTTAAATGCTGTATACAACAATAAGGACAAATCAATTTAGGGTGTCTGTCCTCTCTTTGCTCTTTTTTCCAGATGCAGATATAACCAGTGGAGGAATCTATTAAAAGGCTTATTGGCTTCCTGAAAACGGCACATTTTTTATGTGGACAGTGACATGTGAATTGTGTCAGGAAAAGATATCTGATCTCTGAACTTTTGTCACTTACAGTCATGGCATTAAGTGAAACATCCACATGAAGTGAAATCCTGCACTTTTTAATTAAGGAAGGGCTTGAAAGATGATTTTTCTTTGAAAAAACTTTAAATTACCCTTCATCCAGCAAAACACAATACAACAATACCTCCACCCCCTCTTCAATGAGCTGAATTTGGCACCATCCCTCGTTTCAGCATACTTTTAATAAGCTTGGCTTCCACAACAACCCTCTCAGTGCCAGTCATGGGTTCTGTCTGATGCTGAAAAATAAACTGAACTGGAGGAAAACGAGGGAAGTCAAAACAATTTGAACAACACTTAATCAGTTAAATTGGTTTTTTTCTGGTGTGTCACCACAAATCTGAGAAATCCAGATTTTGTGCTTATTTCCTTGAACACGGGGATGTGTAAAGTTTTCATCTTTTTAGGCTTTGAAATATTGTGTTCCTGGTCCCTTGGACGTGTCGACCATTTTTCAAGGATCCTCTCATCCGCTTGATTCCTTCCTGGCTGTCTTCCACTTTGCACTCTCTCTCATACTTAGCGCAGTGATACACAGTTTTCCATCCACTCCTCTCCACATCCTTCTGCACCTCTTTACACCAAACTGGTTCTCTGAGAGGCTTCATCCTGGCCGGCACTATTCCAGCCAAGGGGGAAGAGGACTTCCTGACGCTGGCCGCTTCACGGCTCAGCCGCAGGAAACGCGTCATTGGAGCTGCTGTAGGTGTGGCCATGGTTCTAATACTGTTGGTGGCCATTCCCCTGCTGGTCCATACAACCAAAGGGGGGAACGCCGAAAATGCAGGGAGCCATTTTGAAATGCTTGGAAGCTGCAGGATGGTTTGTGACCCCTACACTACGTCTCAGCCTGGCCAGGAGCTGACAGCTGTGTCTCCACCACCCCAGGATTACTCAGGGAAGAAGATTAAGCCTGGGTTTCGTGGGCCTCCAGGGATCCATGGCCCTCAAGGAGCACGTGGACCCCCTGGAGAGCCAGGCAAACCAGGTCCACAGGGGCCCCCAGGTCCAGGTCCTGGTGGCTATTCTCCCTCACTCTACACTCCCAAAATTGCCTTTTACGCAGGGCTACGCAAGCAGCACGAAGGGAGTGAAATACTGAAGTTTGATGACGTGGTGACCAATGTAGGCAACTACTATGAGCCCAGCACCGGCAAGTTCACCTGTCCTCTGCCGGGCATCTACTTCTTCACCTACCATGTTCTAATGAGAGGTGGTGATGGGACCAGCATGTGGGCAGACCTGAAGAAGAACGGACTGGTAAGTAAATGTGTGTGTATGTGTGCATGCAAGAAGGTGTGTGCACAATAGAGGGTATTGTGTATGTGTTTGTATGTATGCACACACACGACCATTCAACAGATTTTTTTTTCACAGTTGACCATCCTGTGTAACCATTGACTCGCATTCACCCCAGTAACATTGAGCTCTTCAGATTCGGAGCACATTCCACTTAGCAGGTGGCAACATGACAGCCAAAGAATGAAAGAGCAATCTTTCTCCTCATTAAAGGAAATGCATGCTGTACAGTCTAAAATCACAGCTACGGATATTTGCATTCTCATACTCACTTTGGCTAAATGACAAGTGGCAGAATGCCGCCGCCGCCAAAAGGAACAGTCTAATTAGTAAGTATCATACACAGAGCTTGATTATCGCCTAAACAGAAGTGCAAAAGAGCACAGGAGAAATGTCTGTCAGTACGTGGACCAGTCAGTTTACATCTCAGCTAAATAAATAATGAATGTAAAATTGACAGTCCACTCATCTACTCGCTCATTCCCCAGACACTAATTAAAGACACGGGCTGATGGGGGGAAGAGGATAGGAGAGGTGGGATACATCACAGGGAATTCACCAGAGGACTCCAAATTCAGGAAACATTCTTCAAGTTGTTTTTTTTACATTCATTCATTCATCAAGGACTTCAAATGCAAATCTCTGCTCAGACCTCCCTTTCTAGACAGGTAGTGCACCAAGGACTCTTAGGCCGTGCACGTGGTCTAATACACGCTCATACATACTGTATGGTTTAATTCGACAGTTGTAAATAAGGTTGATTTAGAATATTCCATTTAGATTTGGTGCCACAAAGGTGAATATGTGTTTAAGGCTGCCTACTCAATGTCTTGTATTATCATTCAAGCCATCTTAACCCGCTCAATAATTTTACATCTTGAATTAGATACCATGAACATCCGCTATACTTTCCTCTCCTCACCCCTCCTCAGCTTGTTCATTGATTCTCCATTAATTATCCTTTCACTCAACTCAATCATTTAACCCTGGTCTATCTGACACCCGTCAGGATTCCTCCTTAAACAGTTGTGTTGTAAAGCGCTCTCCGAACAAGGATCTAAGCAAACAGTGCTTCTTGTAGATGACAATGGAGTGTCTATAAAGTGCTGAGGCTTTCTTGGATATTTCTTTCTGCCCATTGGGTATGTTTTAAACCCAATAAAGAAGGATTGCCATAGCCACAAATTGCCACCTTCCCTTTTGGCTTGAGTCGTAACTTCTACACCATAACAGATACGGTCGTTTGTAACGTTGGCTTTGTTAGGCAGCCGGTCCTCCTGCACATCTCGGGACAGGTTCAGCAAGAATGAATGAAACACAAGAGACTTGACATGACATAGACATGCCGAGGCGTCCACTCTGAGACAGTGAAAGTGAGTAGCAAAACAAGACAAGTGAGTTGATGGAAAGATCAGGGGTGGAGCAGAGGAAGATAGATGACTTAATGGAGGCGTGGAGACAGTGGGCTGGTAGACGAGGCATCAGGGAGGCTGGTGGTGAAGGCCGCGATGAGATCAGGCATGATGACCAATGGACACCCACTCAACATGTCTCGGGCTTGACAAGTGATCAAGGTCGGCCAGAGAAAGAGAGACAATTGGTTTACAAACTGTATTTATGCACCAACTGTAGATAGGGAGTGTGAAGTGAAACAGTGAATTAATTAATGTTGGATACCAAAAGATTTCCTCTAGGACTTGTTAGAACTCCGATATCTTTGCTAATGATGTTTAAATAGGCACACTGCCTTAGTGTTGGACTCATGTGACATGAGTGTGGTATGATGCAATGCCAGGATCTCAGGAGGATGTGGGGACTGTGGCAGGGCTTCTATGGGATTCCTAGATCCAATACTTACTACCTTTACTAAGTCCCCACTCTGTGAAGCCTACCTGCTCACACTTCAATCTAACTTTCACAAATTATTGCAGCATCATGACAGGGTTTCAGAGTTAGGGGATTTGTGATTGAAGAGGTTCACGCTTCAGTTGCTTTCATGTTTGTAATGCAATGGTAATTGACTTACAGTACAATTCCAATGTATGATGTGGATGTTTGCTCAACACTGTTAGACCCCATTCACCCCTTTTTAAATGTTAAATGCATAGTTATGAAACAGAGGGCACACAATGCCAAATTCGATAACCCAGTTGGAAAGATGATGCATTTATACATCACTATAATGCTCAATGATTGAATATTAATTTAGCCTTATTCAAAACAAATAGTTATAAATGTACTTCCCGATTGGTGCCCGTGCTATTATAAATGTGTTTAATCACTCTATTCCTAAATCACTGTCAAGGATATTATGCGTTGTGTGCTACTTAATATTCCAGATAGGTGGCAAATGTTATTAAGACGGTCTATGCTAATGTCGGCATGCTGGATGCTATGAAGGTTGGTAATACGTCATGCGTTCCTTCTCAGTGATCCCTTCCTTTCTCCTCATTAACTGGTTGGCGAGCTGTTCACCTACTTATTTATATTCCCATAGTGCACCACTGTATAGCTATAATAAATAATATATTATAATGAACAATGTAGACAAATAGATACTGGCTCGGCTCCCATTTCATTTCCCCTTCTTTTTTTCCACCAGACTCTTTTAATGGCTCAGTTAAAGGTCAAGTTATTATAGTGTTAAAATGTCATCACTTGCTGTAATGACCGGTACCTGTATTAACTTTCCCAGTACAGAGACATAGATATGCTTCAGGTGAAAGATAATAATAAAAATACGCCTCAGAGTGAGGGAAAGTGTTAGATATATATATATATATATATATATATATATATATATATATATATATATATATATATATATATATATATATATAACAGAATTTGCTCTAAGAAGATAATTCAGACAAGATGATGTCTTTCAGTCCATTAGAGATCTAAATTAATTGTACAAATGTGCCTCTGATGAAACACATAATTCAAATATGTCAATCCCTTTCACACCATCCAAAGGTTTTACCTTTATAGTGCAGCAGACTACAGACTGTAACACTGAATGGCAGGTAATAGCAATCTAAGGTACGGTTCAATGCTACAGTTGCTTGTCACCGCGTAATCCCTGGGCTCCCAAAGGAGAGGGAAAACCTATTCAATAAATATTCTATTTCCACAACATCGCCCCCCACCACCCGTCACCAACCCTCCTGCCATGTGCTGGAGTCCCTTAGGTAAGTTTAACAGCTACTTTTCTATTGTCTCCGCTCTAAGAGGTCAGTATATCACAGTGAATGAATCTTGTCAGTTTTATTACCAGTGGAGCACAGACCCACCGATAAAAACAAGGCTTCATATACCCCCACATCTCACCGGTCTCACAAAATAGCCTCGCTTGATCAGTCTGTTGCTCTAGGCCTCCTCCCCTTTCCTCAACCCCCTGGCCCTTGTTTTTGTTTCTTCCCCCTCTCCTACTTTTTGTCTATCCTTTTCTGCCTTCAGCGCTGCAGCTCCACTTGTACAGACAATGACACTGCAGCTACTCCCCACACCTCCACCACCCCTCCCTACTCCCTCCTCCTTGCCTGTGGCCCCCTCTGCTCCCAGGCGTGTTTACTGGAGGCCCTATAATGAAAGGGCTAGGCAGAGACAGAGACAGCCACAGGCAAACCCTGGGGGCCCCTGCCTCACGGCTCACAACCCTTCAAGCTCCAGGATCAGCACAGTGTGCTGCCTGGTTCACATGGATCAGGCTGTGTCCTCCAGCCGTATCCCTCTCCTCCGTTGGCTTCCTGTCCTAATCCCACCACGGCTCTCTCATGCCTGTCTATCTGGCATCTGCATTAATGGACGGCTTGCATTATTCCTTCACGCACAGGAACATCAACTGAAGCACCAATTCACACATTGTATATTGGCAAAATGACATCTATACTGACTGAATATTATTCTCTTGTGTGAGTATTCAGCCGCACTTTCATGAATTAAGTCATGAGAATCTGAGAAGACCTGAGGGGGGGGGGGGGGGGGGGGGG